TCGAATGGTCAGTCCGCCCCTGCATCCGTATCAGATGTCTTGCAAATCGCACCTGAAATCGGCATGTTATCCGAACTTTGAAATCATGCAAATTCACTGTAAGTCGCACAATTTCAAAGTAGGGTTTGATGTGACCGGGGTGTAAAGGATACATAAAGTACAGTTATCTTTCCTACCTTGCTCTTAAAAAAGTATTAAACGTTTTTATTTGAACACATTGAGCACAATACAATAAACATTCCCCATGAAATTATTTGTAAAATTTCTCATCCCAGCACCTGCAGTTTACAACCTTCAATGCTGCCACCTTCTGCTCTCTCAGCGCTGCTTCCCTGAACTTCTGGTCTTCAGTTAACAATACTCAGTGCAGTCTTGAGTCAGTCCGTTAGCTTGGAGAAGGAAGGAGGGAGGAGAAAGAGAAAGGAAGATCAGGGGAGTGTTTTGCCATCCCAGGCTATGGGACTGTGTGTTTCTATTGATGCACACAGTGTAGGGAGAACCTCTGGTCCCTGCATGCAAGGGTGGCTCCATAGGACGTAGAGCAAGGAGCCACCCTGAGGCTAGGTTCACACGAATGCAGTGCGGTACATTAGCACAGGAAACACACCGCATTCCTGTGCAAATCACATGCGATTTGTGTCCGGTGCGATTTGAGCCATAAATTATGTATGGCTCAAATCACACCGCACCCGTACCAAAAACGTGCCGGACCCTTTTTTGGGTCCGCACTAGAATTGGATCACATGGGTATTCACACCTATGAGATTCGATTCTGCACATCGCATCGCATTTTGCGGACCGATTTCGGGGTGTTGTTAACATACACACCTGCATCAGTTCGCAGGAACGGGGTGCGATGCTGATGTGGTGCGGAATTTGCACAGAAAACGCTGCAAATTCAGTTTTACAGAAATGCACTGCAGTCCATTTAACATGATTTCCTATGGATCTAGTTCACATCTGTGTGTTTTGACCCTTTTTTTGGAAAGGGTCAGGGACTTTTTTTCCCCGTAGCAGATTGCGTTTTCCGTCTAATAGACTTCAATGGACCCACACTAAAAATGTTGCGTTTTTGATGCGTTTTGATGCGACTTTGGATACATAAAGGGCTCTGCGCTACTTTGATGAATTTGATGCTGCTTGAGTGCCAGAGAGTGTAAAGTCGCATCAAAGTCGCACCACATGAACAAAACTGTCATGCTTCCCTTTTAGCCAAAAATAAACAAAAAAACGCAAAACGTATGTTCAAAACCGCACAGGAAAGATGCATCAACCGCAACCTGCATACCAAGCTTTAGGCTGCTTGCACACTGAGGAGTTTTTGAAGTAAAAAAAAAGCGCTTGAAAAGCTCAAGAAAAATGCTTCCTTATGTATGTGAATGTATATCTATGTGTGTTTTCACACTGAGACGTTGCACTTGCGGTGCGGTGTTAAAAAACTACCTGCTTGCGGCATCTTTGGGGCATGTTTGGTGAGTTAAAACAAAAATGCTCCAAAAACGCCTCTTCCCATTGAAATCAATGGAAAACGCCTAAAAAACACCCCAAAAACGCCTCTTTCCATTGAAATCAATGGAAAACGCCTAAAAAAGCCCCCACAACGTCTCTTCCCATTGAAATCAATGGAAACACCTAAAGAAACACCCCAAAAACGCCTCTTCCCATTGAAATCAACGGAAAATGCCTAAAATAAGCCCCAAAAACGCCTCTTCCCATTGAAATCAACGGAAAACGCCAAAAAAAAAAACGCAAAAACGCCTCTTCCCATTGAAATCAACGGAAAACGCCTAAAAAAATCTCTTCCCATTGAAATCAATGGAAGCCGCCTAAAAATGCCCAAAAAAAACGCCTCTTCCCATTGAAATCAATGGAAAACACCTTAAAAAAAAAACGCCCCAAAATCGCCTCTTCCCATTGAAATCAATGGAAAACGCCTAAAAAAAGCCCTAAAAAAACACCTCTTCCCATTGAAATAAATGGAAACGCTAAAAACGCCCCAAAAACGCCTCTTTCCATTGAAATCAATGGAAAACGCCTAAAAAAAAGCCCCAAAAATGCCTCTTCCCATTGAAATAAATGGAAAACGCCTAAAAAACGCCCCAAAAAAGCCTTTCTTTTCCATTGAAATCAATGGAAAACACCAAAAAAAGTCCCAGAAACACCTCTTCCCATTGAAATCAACGGAAAACGCCTAAAAAAAGCCCCCAAAATGCCTCTTCCATTGAAATCAACGGAAAAACGCCAAAAAAAGCTCCAAAAACACCTCTTCCCATTGAAATCAATGGAAAACGCCTAAAAAACGCCTCTCTTCCCATTGAAATCAATGGAAAACGCCTAAAAAAAGCCCCAAAAACGCCTCTTCCCATTGAAATCAACAGAAAACGCCTAAAAAAAACGCCCCCAAAACACCTCTACCCATTGAAATCAATGGAAAACGCCTAAAAACTCCCTCAGAAATGCCTCTGCAAAGCGTTTTTGATGCAGTTTTAAGTCACAAGCCCTTTAAAAAATGCAGTATAAACGCGGCAAACGCGCCTATGTGTTTTTTAGGCGTTTTTTGCGGCAGCTCAGTGTGAAAGTACCATAAGGTTGCTTTCACACTGAGGAGTTTTTGAGTTAAAAAAAACACCTGAAAAGCTCAAGAAAAACGCTTCCCTGTGTATGTGAATGTATATCTATGTAGGTTTTCACACTGGGGGGTTGCGCTTGCGGTGCGGTGTAAAAACTCCTGCATGCAGCATCTTTGGGGCGTGTTTTGGGAGTTAAAAAAAAAATGCCCCAAAAGCGACTCTTCCCATTGAAATCAATGTAAAACGCCTAAAAAACGCCTCTGAGATGCATTTTTGGTGCGGTTTTTAAAGTCATGAGTAACAACAATTAGAAATCGTGGCAAAAGCGCGGTAAAAACTGCCTGTGCGTTATTGCTGTGTTTTTGCGGCAGATCAGTGTGAAGGTTGCATAAGGGCTTGTTCACAAGAGCAGCAGGCATTGCTTCTCCTCTGAAAAGCAATCCACACTTGGAACACTTTTCAGAGGTGTTTGACAAACAGTGAGGGGGCAATATGTCACCACCTGAATGAATCTAGTCCTGTAAAATGGGCAGCACAGTGGCTAAATGGTTAGCACTTCAGCCTGGCAGTACTAGGGTCGTTGGTTCAAATCCCAACCATGGCACCACCTGCCTGGAGTTTGCATGTTCTCCCTGTGCCTGTGTGGGTTTCCTCCAGGTACTCCGGTTTCCTCCCACACTCCAAAGACATGCTGGTAGGTTAATTGGATCCTGTCTAAATTGGCTCTTGTATATGAATGTGAGTTAGGGACCTTAGATTGTACACCCCTTGAGGGTTAGGGACGGATGTGAATGTACAATATATATGTAAAGCTGCGTAAATTGATGGTTCTATACAAGTACCTGAAATAAATATAGAAATAATTGTCGCACTCCTGTGCTAAGTGAACAAATGTGACCAGCACACCACCGATCTCCAAATGGGTCCAAAGCTTTGATTGGCAATCACATCATAACCGCAGAACAGAGGCAGACTGACCATTTGGAAACTCGGGCACTGCCTGAGGGCCTGGGGTCAGTAGGGGGCCCCATGAGATGCCCCTGGTACCTTTCATAAGTTTTTTTTGAGTTTGGGCAAGGACACCGGGGCCCCATGATCCCCTATTGCCCGGGGGCCCCATGAGTTGTCAGTCCGCCCCTGCTGCAGAAGTAACATTTTGGAGCCGTACAGGACCCCTTCATCAGGCATGGTGACCACAAGTGGATTTGCACTTTAAGCCTGGTTCACACTGGTGCGACTTGACAGATCAAAGTCACATGACAAGCCGCACCCTATTTGTGGTTTTGCAACAGTTCAAATCGGTGCAACTCTGAGTCGCTATTTTTTGCACTGACATCTCTGCATGAAGTCACACAAATGTCGGCAAGCCGCAAATGAAGTCGCACTGATTGGCGGCTTTTAAATCGCACTAAAGTAGCTTGATTTCAAAGCTGCACTCAGAGTGATCCGGGGGTTAATGCTGGTACATTTATTTTTTTTAAACTCTCTCCCCCCAGCCCCAATCCCAGCGTTACCCCAGGTTCCCACCTAGGTGTTTTCTGCTGCGTTTTGCAGAAACGCAGTACATTCCATTTAACATGATTTCCTATGGGACACGTTCACATCTCCGCATTTTCACCCGGTGTGTTTTTTGTAAAGGGTCAGGGACTTTTTTGAACGCAAAAAAAAGCTGCATTTTTGGTTCTATAGACTTCAATGGAAATGCTGCAGAAAAGCATGTAATGCGTTCTTGCTGTGTTTTGCGTTTTAAATCGGCCTAGCAACAATACAAATTTTTAAAAAATGGAGGAAAAAAAGCGCAAAACACACGGCAAAAATTCAAAACACAATGCAGAAATGGCTCAAATGCAACCTGCATAGGTGTGAACCTAGCCTTAGTAAATCTTCCCTGTAGTATCGGTTGTGTTTTTCGTTCTATGGACTTCAATGGGAATGCGTTTTTGATGCGTTTTAAAATCTCCCTAGCAACAAGAAAAATTAAAAAACATGAAACCCCCCACCAAAACGCATCAAAAATGCAGCAAAAACGCAAGTGTAAAAAATGCAATGCAGAACTGCAACAAACACAACCTGCATAGGTGTGAACCTAGTCTTATACTCTGCTGCTGCTCCAATCCGCTGAGATCCACATTTTATCAGGATCTTCTTGTCCCAGACTAGCAATACACTGTGCAATCTTCATCCAATCCATTTCCTGCTCTGTCAAGCTGAACTTAAAGAGGTAAAAAACCCAAAAGCAAACATTGATTACATTGCAGCTTGCCAATTCTTAGGTGTGATGGTTGCATTGGTTTTCTTTTTTAGGTTTTCCTTCTCCTATTTTCATCTAGTGATCCAGCCAGTTAATCTGTTTTTCAAAAGAACAAGCTCTCCTCTACATGTATGGGTTTACAGAGATGAGACAAAGCTTTTACCACTGACATGGGTGCTTACAGTGATCAGCATTTATTAATTTATGTGACTGCAGGGTCCAGGGAGACCAGATATAGTGAATGCAGGGTCCAGGGAGACCAGATATAGTGAATGCAGGGTCCAGGGAGACCAGATATAGTGAATGCAGGGTCCGGGGAGACCGATATAGTGAATGCAGGGTCCGGGGAGACCGGATATAGTGAATGCAGGGTCCGGGGAGACCAGATATAGTGAATGCAGGGTCCGGGGAGACCAGATATAGTGAATGCAGGGTCCAGGGGAGACCGGATATAGTGAATGCAGGGTCCGGGGAGACCGGATATAGTGAATGCAGGGTCCGGAGACCAGATATAGTGAATGCAGGGTCCTGGGAGAGCAGGATATAGTGAATGCAGGGTCCGGGGAGACCGGATATAGGGAATGCAGGGTCCGGGGAGACCGGATATAGGAATGCAGGGTCCGGGGAGACCGGACAGGGTCCGGATAGACCGGATATAGTGAATGCAGGGTCCTGGGGAGACCAGATATAGTGAATGCAGGGCCTGGGGAGACTATATATAGTGAATGCAGGGTCCGGGGAGGACCGGATATAGTGAATGCAGGGTCCGGGGAGACCGGATATAGTGAATGCAGGGCCTGGGGAAACCAGATATAGTGAATGCAGGGTCCGGGAGACCGGATAGTGATTGCAGGGTCCAGACCAGATATAGTGAATGCAGGGTCCGGGGAGACCAGATATAGTGAATGCAGGGTCCGGGGAGACCAGATATAGTGAATGCAGGGTCCGGGGAGACCATATATAGTGAATGCAGGGTCCGAGGTTTAGGAACACTTTAATACCACTTTAAAGATCTATGGCCAAAGCATCCATTTCATAACATCAGCATTGTAATAACAATACAAACAGTCAGTATATTTGACAATCCAATATAATATTACTTGAAAAATCTCCTTTCATGTTGTGAGTTCTGCCTGTCTACTGGTCACCTCTTTCTACAACTTCCTGGATTCCCAGCATGCTTTGCAGCTTCTCCTAATTTCTAAGGACTACATATCCCATGCAAGCAGTGTTTCCTTTATTGACTGCGCCTCCTGAAACTCCTCCTCCCAGCACCTATATAGTCCAGAAGGCAGGCTCTGTGAAATGTGTGACACAGCAGTGCCTACCCACAGGGCATAGTGACTACGTGTCACAGAACTCCAGGAAGTAAATGTGTGGGGTCCTCACAGAGTAAGTCTCCAAAGATTGTTCAGACTAATAGGAATGGGCTCGAAATACATGAAGTACAGAGTGGTAATGAATATATGGGAAATGGGATTGTGACCATTTAGTCAGGTCTGCTCTGTGTGCTCAGCTGCTCCCAGTCTGCCAATAGCTTCCTCTGTATCTGGGAAACCTGAGAAGTTTCTGCAAGATAGGTGTGGAGCTATGCAGATGGCAGCATGGATATTGATAAAGCCCCAGCCTGTCCCAGATAGGCAGGATCTGATGGCATGCTGGATAACTGTATATACACTCTCTGGCCACTTTATTAGGTACACTTGTTTAATTACTTGGTAACACAAATTTCTAGTCAGCCAATCACATGGCAGCAACTCAAAGCATTTAGGCATCTAGACATGGTGAAGACGACTTGTTGGAGTTCCAACTGAGCATCAGAATGGGGAAGAAAGGGGATTTAAGTGACTTTGAATGTGGCATGGTTGCTGGTGCCAGACGGGCTGGTCTGAGTATTTCAAAAACTACATGGTGATCATATCCCCCCTTATGTATTATACATGGTGATCATATCCCCTTATGTGATATATACATGGAGATCATATCCCCCCTTATGTATTATACATGGAGATCATATCCCCCCTTATGTATCATGGAGATCATATCCCCCTTATGTATTATACATGGAGATCATATCCCCCCTTATGTATTCATACATGGAGATCATATCCCCCTTATGGTATATATACATGGAGATCATATCCCCCCTTATGTATTATACATGGAGATCATATCCCCCCTTATGTATTATACATGGAGATCATATCCCCCCTTATGAATTATACGAGGAGATCATACACCCCCCTCTTTTGTAATATACATGGAGATCATACACCCCCCTCTCTTTGTAATATACATGGAGATCATATCCCCCCTTATGTATTATACATGGTGATCATATCCCCTTATGTATTATACATGGAGATCATATCCCCCTTATGTATTATACATGGAGATCATATCCCCCCTTATGTATTATACATGGAGATCATATCCCCCCTTATGTATTATACATGGAGATCATCTCCCCCCTTATGTATTATACATGGAGATCATATCCCCCCTTATGTATTATACATGGAGATCATATCCCCCCCTTATGTATTATACATGGAGGTCATATCCCCCTTATGTATTATATATGGAGATCATATCCCCCCCTTATGTATTATACATGGAGATCATATATCCCCCCTTTGTATTATACATGGAGATCATATCCCCCTTATGTATTATACATGGAGATCATATCCCCCCTTATGTATTATACATGGAGATCATATCCCCCCTTATGTATTATACATGGAGATCATATCCCCCCCCCTTATGTATTATACATGGAGATCGTATCCCCCCTTATGTATTATACATGGTGATCGTATCCCCCTTATGTATTATACATGGTGATCGTATCCCCCCTTATGTATTATACATGGAGAATCATATCCCCCCTTATGTATTATACATGGAGATCATATCCCCCCTTATGTATTATACATGGAGATCATATCCCCCTTATGTATTATACATGGAGATCATATCCCCCTTATGTAGATCATATCCCCCTTATGTATTATACATGGAGATCATATCCCCCCTTATGTATTATACATGGTGATCATATCCCCCCTGATGTATTATACATGGAGTATCATACCCCCCCTTATGTATTATACAACGGTGATCATATCCCCCCTTATGTATTATACATGGAGATCATATCTCCCCCTTATGTATTATACATGGTGATCATATCCCCCTTATGTATTATACATGGTGATCATATCCCCCCATTATGTATTTACATGGAGAAGAGGGGGGGTCATATCCCCCCTTATGTATTATACATGGAGATCATATCCCCCTTATGTATTTATACATGGTTATCATATCCCCCCTTATTGTATTATACATGGAGATCATATCCCCCTTATTGTATTATACATGGAGATCATATCCCCCCCTTATGTATTCTACATGGAGATCATATCCCCCCTTATGTATTCCTACATGGAGATCATATCCCCCTTATGTATTATACATGGAGCTCATATCCCCCTTATGTATTATACATGGAGATCATATCCCCCCTTTATGTATTATACACGGAGATCATATCCCCCCTTATGTATTATACATGGAGATCATATCCCCCCTTATGTACAGTTGCAAGAAAAAGTATGTGAACCCCTTGGGATTACGTGTGAGTTTTGCATGAATTGGGCATAAAATGTGCTCTGAACGTCATCTAAGTCACAGCAATAGAAAGAACACAGTCTGCTGAACATAATACTACACAAACATTAGATGTTGCCATGGTTTAATTGCACATAACATGTAAACATTCACAGTGCAGGGAGGAAAAAGTATGTGAGGCCCTAGCTTAATGACTTCTCCCAGAGCTAATTGGAGCCAGGAGTGAGCCAACCTTGACTCCAATCAGTGTGATGATATTGGATGTGTTGCTGACAGCTGTCCTGCCCTTAAAAAACACACACCTGTTTTGGGTTTACTGGTTTCAAGAAGCACTGTCTGATGTGAACCATGCCTCGCAGAAAAGAGCTCTCAGAAGACCTACGATCAAGAATTGTTGACTTGCATGAAGCTGGAAAGGGTTACAAAAGTATCTCCAAAAAGCCTTGATGTTCATGTGTCCACGGTAAGACAGACTGTCTACAAATGGAGAAAGTTTAGCACTGTTGCTACTCTCCCTAGGCGTGGTCGTCCCTGTAAAAATGACTGCAAGAGCACAGCGCAGAATGCTGCATGAGGTAAAGAAGAATCCCAGAGTGTCAGCTAAAGACCTACAGAAATCTCTGGCACATGCTAACATTTTTGTTGACACATCTACAATAAGGAAAACATTAAACAAGAATGGAGTACATGGGAGGACACCACGGAGGAAGCCATTGCTGTCCAAAAAGAATATTGCAGCACGTTTGAAGTTTGCAAAAAGAGCACCTGGATGTTCCACAGCACTACTGGCAAATATACTGTGGACAGATGAAACCAAGATTGAGTTGTTTGGGAAGAACACACAACACTATGTGTGGAGAAAAAAAGGCACAGCACACCAACATCAAAACCTCATCCCCACTGTAAACACATGGCGGAGGGAGCATCATGGTTTGGGGCTGCTTTGCTGCCTCAGGGTGGACGGATTGTTGTCATTGATGGGAAAATGAATTCTAGAGTTTATCAAGACATTTTGCAGGAAAACGTACGACCATCTGTCCGCCAACTGAAGCTCCGCAGAGGATGGGTGATGCAACAGGACAATGACCCAAAGCATACAAGTAATTCAACAAAAACAATGGCTGCAACAGCACAGAATACGCCTTCTGGAGTGGCCCAGAGTCCTGACCTCAACCCGATTGAAATGCTGTGGCATGACCTTAAGAGACTGATTCACACCAGACATCCAAGAATATTGCTACACTGAAACAGTTTTGTGAAGAGGAGTGGGTCCATAATTACTCCAGATTGTTGTGCAGGTCTGATCTGCAACTACAGGAAACGTTTGGTTGAGGTTATTGCTGCCAAAAGAGGGTCAACCAGTTATTAAGTCCAAGATTCACATACTTTTTCCTCCCTGCACTCTGAATGTTTACATGTTATGTGCAATTAAACCATGGCAACATCTAATGTTTGTGTAGTATTATGTGCAGCAGACTGTGTTCTTCTATTGTTGTGACTTAGATGAAGTTCAGAGCACATTTTATGCCCAATTCATGCAAAACTCCACGAAATCCCAAGGGGTTCACATACTTTTTCTTGCAACTGTATTATACACGGAGATCATATCTCCCTTATGTATTATACATGGTGATCATATCCCCCCTTATGTATTATACATGGTGATCATATCCCCCCTTATGTATTATACATAGAAATCACATCCCCCCTTACGTATTAGACATGGTGATCATATCCCCCCTTACGTATTATACATGGAGATCATATCCCCCCTTATGTATTATACATGGTGATCATATCCCCCTTATGTATTAGACATGGGTGATCATATCCCCCCCTTACGTATTATACATGGAGATCATATCCCCCCCTTATGTATTATACATGGTGATCATATCCCCCTTATGTATTATACATGGTGATCATATCCCCCCTTATGTATTATACATGGAGATCATATCCCCCTTATGTATTATACATGGAGATCATATCCCCCCTTATGTATTATACATGGAGATCATATCCCCCTTATGTATTATACATGGAGATCATATCCCCCCCTTATGTATTATACATGGAGATCATATCCCCCCTTATGTATTATACATGGAGATCATATCCCCCTTATGTATTATACATGGAGATCATATCCCCCTTATGTATTATACATGGAGATCATATCTTCCCTTATGTATTATACATGGAGATCATATCCCCCTTTATGTATTCTACATGGAGATCATATCCCCCCTTATGTATTATACATGGAGATCATATCCCCCCTTATGTATTATACATGGAGATCACATCCCCCCTTACGTATTATACATAGA